TCAAAATAATTTAACTATTATACAATATGTAATAACAACGTATGTGACAAAGAGTTAACAGAATTAGTATATTCTACACGAACGAATTCATCGATAACTGGAAGATACGGGCCAGATCGTTGTTCTCTTCTCTCTCTCTCTCTCTCTCATTCTCTCTCTCTCTCTCTCTCATTCTCTTTCTCTCTCTTTCTTTTTCTATTTCTCTTTCTCTTCTCTTTCTCTTTCTATGCGGGTTGGACATACGTGAAATTCTGTGAAACCGTTTCTAACGACGCGTAACGATTGATCCGATGCGTATAATACATATATACGTATGTATATGTATAAATACACACCAAACTGAGAATATATATATATATATATAGAAAGACATTCGTTTTGATCGATCAATTTAACCCGTTTACTGTGTTCAACGAGTATGCTCGTTATACGAAAAACAAAAAAAAGAAAAATAGAAATTATATCAATTTCGATGTATTTAAGTTGAAATTTTATTTAAAAAAAGAAGAAACGGACAAAAAGGAATGTGTATTGTTAGTTAAAACCACCAAGTATATGATCGATGCACCGTCTTCGTTGAAATTCACCTTCAGACTGGCAGGTGGTAATCTATATGAAAATTCTTATATTAAATATTGTTTATATGACTTTCCGAACATTACGCATGTGCATAATGAAAATAATTCACCTACTTAATAGAATTTATGATTATAACGTTTTAATTTTATTATTTTTTGCATTCTATTATAATTATTTTATTGCTCATGCGCAGTGATAACTCCGAGGATTAGATTTTGCTGTAATATAAGTAGGATGCATTAGAATATTAAAAGAATTGTTAATTCATCGAAAGAAATGTGTATTGTTAGTTAAAACCATCGAGTATATAATCGGTGCACCGTCTTCGTTGAAATTCACCTTCAGACTGGCAGGTGGTAATCTGTATGAAAATTCTTATATTAAATATTGTTTATATGACTTTCCGAACATTACGCATGTGCATAATGAAAATAATTCACATAATTAATAGAATTTATGATTATAACGTTTTAATTTTAATATTTTTTGCATTCTATGAAGTATTGAAGTAATTAAAGCCATCATTGTGCATGTGTGATAAGATAATTACATTAGAATGGAAAAAATACTAAAATTATAACGTTATAATGTTAAATACTCTTTATTAAGAATATCATTACCGTTACATACATACGTAACATTCAAAAAGTTATATAAACTACATTGAATAAATGCAGTTACATAGGTGACCACTTGTCAGTCTACAGGTGAATCTCGAAGATGACGATACTCCGAACTTATACGCAGTGCTTTTAATCATCAATACATATTTATTTCGTTTAATTAACAATTATTTTAATACTCTAATGCAACAACTTATATTACAACAGTTTTTATACACAAGTTATATACAGGATATTCAAAAAACACCGCGTTCAATACTTATATGATATATAGGATACAATGTACTGAGTAAAAAAGTTTTGTTAAACATATGTATATATATATATATATATATAGAGAGAGAGAGAGAGACCCTAGTACAAAGATAAGAAGCATCAATGTCCGAACATTTTGTAGTTGAGCTGGTCCAGGCTATCCTGGCATAATGCCACGGTCTATTAGCGTCAAGACAGTATCGTTAGGTTGCTGCCAAACTCTGAGAAAACGAGTACCTACCTGTCCTGAAAGTAAGATTTAAGGGTGTCAAGAGGTATGAGATATGCTCAACGTTACGCCCAAGAATTGTTAATAAGACAAGAACTTGGAATAGTTATAAGACATTTTAAATCGAGCTTGAACTATTACTCTTATTCTTCTTCTTCTTCGTCTTTTGACTTTACTATTAAAATCGATCGTTAAATCATTTTTTTTTTTTTTTTTCGTTAAGTTTATATATTATTTAGACAAATGATCAAATAATCGGAAATGATTTATTTTATATTTAAACAAATTAACAAATTTGTTTATAAAAAAAAAACTTAACTCTCCCAACGATCATTCCATTAGTATAAAATGAAGAACAAAAAGAAGAGGAAAAGGAAAATAAAAAAAAAAGACAAAACGAGAAGTGATTAAGGGTAGGAAATCTAGGCAGTCAATGCTTCCTAACTTTCTCTCTCACCCTCTTTAATATTTTCCACCCCGACAAAATTGGCCTGAACACCNCTCTCCCATTTCTCCCTTCTATCGAATGAACGAACGAACGAACGAACGAACCAAACCCAACCCAACCCAACCCAAACCCAAGCCCAACTACCCACCGCCCCGCGAGTAGGGTGCATTACCGATGCATTGCTGCTGCACATCCGTCTATTGAACTTTTTGATGCAGGCTTCGGAACTTCGAACCCGCCATCTCTTCTTCACCCTCTCCCATTTCTCCCTTCTATCGAATGAACGAACGAACGAACGAACGAACCAAACCCAACCCAACCCAACCCAAACCCAAGCCCAACTACCCACGCAACGGCATTTACGTCGGTGAATGCAACGACGTATGTCAAGCCGCGCCGACTCGCGTCAATCGAGTCGCATTGATCTCCCTTTTTCGATACTCCGTGATTTTTTTCCGATGCTATTTTTTTTATTTTTCTATTTTTGTATTTTTTTTTCCTCCATCTATTTCACTCTCTCGCGTACGAGAATGCTCTATGAACCACCTACCCCTTCATCTCCTACCTGATCCTCGTTCAACGCGTCATTTCGAGAACAATCATGGATCATTAAGGATGCTTCTCGATAAAAGCATTTTCGTTTATTTATTCTACTCGCCTTTTTTTTTTCTTTCTTTCTTTCTTTCTTTCTTTTTCGTGCAGAACAATTTTTCAAAATCGTTCTTCCAACCAAATGAAAGTGGTAGTAGCCATTTTTTTTTTTTTTTTTGAAAAAGTTTCCTTCTATTTTTGTTTCCCTTTCTACCTTTCTTATAGGTGCACGGTTTTTTATTTTTCATTTGTAATGCCTACTTCATAAATATAATCTTTGATATTTATTATATATGTTTTTCTCTCGTAAATATATATTTTATTTATTTATTTATTTTTTTGTTTTTTTTTTTAATTTATAATCATTCAATCTGCCATTTATAATTTTGAAACAAAAAACACGTTACTACGTTATCGTATTTCTATTTGTTTGCAATGTTTTCTATTTAATTTGATAAATCATTTATTTGTTATAAATCTTATCTATCAGTTACTAAAAGATTACAATAATTAATGTAAGTTTTGAGGTATTGAGAATGATTGAAGGAAGAAAAAAAAAAAAAAGGTTGGGAATCACTGGAAACATGGATCAGAGGTTTAACATAAAAGCAAAGAGAGAAAGAGAGAAAGAGAGAGAGAGTAGGAGAGTGAGTAGACGATTCACTCTGTGCACATAAATCGCCCCTGGCGTAGATCCACGACTAATATCCCCCACTAGATTTCGTCTTATTGCATGTTTCGCGCTACGATGGAGTGCCGAAATCTAATTTCAGAGTAAGATCGTTCCGGTTTATATAGACGTTGGAATAAGATGACGTTTAGAGTAACTGACAACGAAGTAGTTACCTTAGGAATCCTATGGATTTCAATTTTCAACAATTTTTTAATGACAAATTATTTCTTTGAACAATCAATTAAATCATAACAGAGATAGATTGATAAGATTTTTATTTATAAGAATAATATCTAATCATTTTTATTATTAAATCAATCAATTGAATATTTATGAAATTAATGGGTGCTCAAAGAAAAACGATTGAGTATTTCGATTGATAGAAAAAGGGAAAGTCTAAGTTGAGAACCTTCTATTACGTGTCCTAGATTAAAGATTATAAGGATAGATTAGTAATAGGCGAGATTTCTAACGTTTACCAGAGTGTTATTGTTCTTAGTTATTATGCAACATCTGTCGAGGCTAATATATATATTATATTTTCTTCTAAATAACATATCTTTTTATTACTAATAAATTTCAATACTGTTGTAATTGTTTTTTTTTTTTAATTATTTTCCCCTACTATCTCTATTTTAGAAACGAAAGTTGGATGGGAATTGCAATTCGTTTTTGTCTTGTTTTTCTTTTTTGTTATAAGGTTTCAATTGTTTTGAACTATTTGATCATCGTATATTTGATTGTTGAAATCTTTAGTTTTAACATTAAATTCCGAAACCTTTCAATGCGACAAAGTGAACACAAATAAAACAAAATTCATACAAAGTGAAAAAACATTTGAATATTATCTTTAAATCGCGCCAAAAAAGCGCGCGCTTGTCTACGACAATGGTGTGAGAGAGATAAAAAGAGTGACGCACCAGAAGCTGCGCAAACGTTCGACACTTCCATCTGTATATACATATATGTTTTTATATATATATATATATATATAATATGTGTGAATATATAGCCGACAAGCAAACAATGTTTAAGTTAATATTTTCTTTAGACACACACGTGCAACGTAGAATTTTATTTTAAAAAAGAAGAAAAAAAAATTAAAACCACAAAATGAAAAGCGTGATGCATAACCGCCATTAGTATTTTTAGAACATAAGTAAGTATTACTACTAACATCGTTAGAGAGTGATATCTGCCAAGTTCTTAGAAAATAGACACGAAATAACGTAATAAGTAGCTACGAAGATGAGAAAAAAAAAGAACTAATCAAAATGGAGTTTGTAACTAAAAGTGACCACGTGATAATATATAATTTTTCTTCTATTTTGTGTGCACACACACACACTCTCTCTCTCTCTCTCTCTCTCTCTCTTTCATACCTTTCTCTTTCAATCGCACACATCAAATTTATAAAAATACCGTAATCCTTTAATACACGCTTCGACTCGTATAAAAATAATTAATAATAATAATAATAATAATATAAATATAAATCCTATAAATTTCAAACAAACGAAAAATATACAAAATAAAGAAATAATACAAAAATCAAATTGAAATGAAAGAAAGAAAATGTTATAAAAAAATAAACAAACTTACCCGTTCATCCTGATGGCCTCTCGTAACGATGACGATGATGACGATGATGATGATGATGATGATGTACGTTCTTCTTGTTTTTGCTTTCTTGATCGATGATAGTAAGGTTAAGTCGGCCGTTAACTCGACCTCGGTATCACAAGGGTACTCGTTCTTGCATCCGTGGAAACAAGATTCCGAGTAGATGAAGAAACGTAACGATGCACAAGAACAACAAGAACACGAGCGCGTTGTTGATAAAACAACAGGTTGCAGCAGCACGGCACACGTTCTTATTACCACGAAAACCGATATATATCGCGAATGATTTATCAACCAAAAAGGAGGAAGACTCAAATAATTACGACGAAACATTAACGCGTCAACCTAAACATTTATACAACCCGGCACATATATTATATGTACACACATAGTATAAATATAGAACATTTATTTTTGTTTTGTTTTTTTAGGAAACACCTTTCTCTTTTTTTTTCTATTATCTATTCGCGCACGATCCGCGTTCCTATTTTATATATACATATATATATAATTTTGTATGTAATACACAGTGTGTTTGGTATTTCCACTTGTTCTGCGCAGATTACCTGTCTTTCTCTCTTTCTCGTACACGTTGGATAGCTATCTCTCTCTCACTCACTCTTCGTTTATCCTCCCACCACTCTCTCTCTCTCTCTTTCTTTCTCTTACTCGTTAGAATACAAATGAAAGAGAGAAACACAGCACTCTCTTAGTAGTAGTTGCACTTTTTTGGCTTCCTTCGAGCAACTTTGTTTTTGTTATCGTCAAATGTCTTCGTTGTTGTTGTTGTTGTCAATGGCTATTAGATATCGTCGTGGTCAGTATCTCGGTGACACCGTCAACTGTCGTTACCGCCGCCGCCGCCGCTGCCACCACCGCACCCAACACAACGTCCAATAAGACCAAGCAACCAACCTCGTGCCAACTTGGACGACTTCGATCCGGACGACGAAATATGCCACAGAGAGAGCCAAAGGAAGAGTTAAAGAGACGACAGATGACAGTCAAAAGAAAACACGATAAGAATACGTAGACAATGTCGAAATTCGATTGGTTACTACAGCTAATCCCAACCAAGGATTTTTCGTCGACAATATATAAAAACACACGCGTGTATTTGCAATACTATCAAATACAACATATATTCATTCCTCTCCTCACTTCAAATAGAAAGAGATAAAATGAGTAAGTGAATAAATGTGTGAGAGTGAACGTGAGGGGAGTAGAATAATAGTTGTGTTGGTAATAATAATGCACACGTAGGAGATGAAAGACACACGAGAGATGATTGTAATCCGCACGTTTTTAAACACGAATCTCTCGACGACACTGTTAAACAAACCTAATCGATATATATCGACTACGAAACTTACTCGATATTTTCTTCCAGTAATAATATTAATTATTTTTCACACGTAGGAATGAAATGATTGTAACGAACGAACGCGACAACGACGACCACGCGCTGCCACTTTCAGACCGTGGAATTTCGCGAGGGTAGAACTTACTCTCTGTATACGATAATTATCGTTATGTAACAACTAGCGTCATCTAGTGATCGAGCTATACGACTACGTTCGATGTACGACGCCATCTTGATTCTCAGTTAGTCACTCGCTAAGCTCGCAGCCGGTCGGTCGTGTTCTTTCACTCGTCTCTCTCTCTCTCTCACTCTTTCTCTCTTTCTTCCTCTCTTTTTATCGATTTTTTTGGCGGAACATTTTATCTACGCAGTTTTGTAGAACACTGAATGCGCGTTTTTTTTTTTTAATCTTCTTTATTCTTTCGATTCTTCTGTTTTATCGTCTAAGATACGAAAAACGTTTGTTATCGTTCGTAGAATACTGTGGATAAAGTGGATCTCTTTTTCTTTATATGAAAATAATTCATCTCCTATAAACGGGTTAATATATACGTAATCATTTCCGTTTGTATTCTTACGTGTGTGAGTAAAATTTGCTGCCAATTTTAGCTACTGCGTAGTTATATACTCTTTGAAGTTTTCTCTAGGATGATGACGCGTGGTTACGCGAGTGGGCGATTAGAAAACCATAAGTGCGTGCGTGGTCTGGTGTTCGTGATATTTATGTGCAAAAATAATGTGTTTTCATAAGTGGATGAAGGAAACGGATATTATCTTACCAGGATAGATTTACTCACCGTCGATAGGAAAAAGATGCATTGGCTAAAGTTGGATCTTCATCGACTGTGGTCAATTTACCTGTTTATGTAAGTACATGCATGCAATTTTTTAAAATATAAAATTAAATAAATTTATATATACGTTTAGAATATTATTATTAATTTAATTCTATTTATTTTATATATAATAAAACAAATCGATTATTTAAGAATCAAAGATACAACATACGTCAGGATTTTTAATATCTATCAAAATTTTGTTTCTATTCAAATTGGCGCCATATTCAAATGCTTTATTAATATTATTCAATCCGAATATAGCTGATATACGTGGACATATCATACCTTCTATTCGATAATCTAATAAATTTTCCATAGTTTCTCTATAAAAAAAAAAAAAAGAAATATTATAAATATGTGTATACATTTTTGTTGTATATATTATTTTTAATAAATATCGACAACTAGCCTATATATAAAAGGATCGCCATTTTTATAATGTTCCATTGCAAGTGTTAAGATGTTATAATTCAATGGGAAAATATATGGATATGGATACTTCGAATCTCTCGCATAATCGAGAAAAGCAACTGTTCCTTCGTGTTCCAAACTAAATAATAAAATTATTATAATATATAATAAATAAATGTAAAATTAATTAAATTAGATAACAACAACATAAATGTATACTATTATTATTAATATTTTTTTTTTAAATGATGTTCATTAAATTTTGAGATAAATATTTTCAAACCATTTAAGAAGATTTTCAAAATCAGTTCCACCAATCGTATCGATAATTAAACGAACATCTCTTTTGCCAGTAATTTGTTCTAATTTGTCGCTGAGTTCACATCTATTTCTATCGATAATTGCAACAGCACCAAGATCGATACTAGACTCGAACAACGTCGAACTATCGCAAACAATAATTGGCTAGGGAAATGTTAATTAATAATTATTTCATTAAAAACTTCTAATCTCTCAATTATTATTATACTTTAATTATTAGGTTGTACCTTAGCTTGAAAGATGCATGCTGCGATATTAATGGCGGCCATTGCGGAGAACATGGAATTCGTATTAATTAAAAGATATTCGTCTTTTTTTAATTGAGTTCGACGACCAAGGATTAAAAATGGCGAGAAATAATCGTCGGTTAAACTCGCCGCGTCTTTCATTGATAAATTTTTCTTTTTTCCAAGACTAAATATGTTCTAATGTTCATTGCATTATTAAATTCAATAGAAAATTCGCTGTATTAGTTTTACACAAAATTTCGAAAAATAATCTCCAAGGCAAAATATATAAAACATTATAATTATTAATAAATTATTTATTTTACCTCTGGATGAACAATACAGGTTTCCGCGAATGCACCAAGTTTCGGATAAATGTGAACCAATACCTCTTCACCCCAATAACAATGAATTTTTTCCTGTGCCAATTTACCTATTTCCACAATTTTACCTGCTGCTTCAAATCCAAGAATCGTTTCTTTATCAACAATTCTTTTATGTTCATTAGCCCACAGCAACAAATCGGTCATCGTAATACCACAATAATGCACCTCGATTCTAACCTTGTTTTTTATTTCTTTTGGTTAAAATTCTGCTTCCAATCGAACAATTTCTTTTTTTTTTCATTTTTATTCCCCCTTTTTTTGTTTATTTATTCATTAAAAATTCAATGAACACAAACCTCTTCATCTCGAATAGTTTTTTCTTCAACAAAATCAAGCCTGATATCACGTGGACCATACAATTTGGCAACTCGTATCATTTTTCCAGTATAATCCTTTGGTTTAATTCTCAAAAGTTGAATAATATCATTCAATTTCATTTTGAACCATGACATTTTATTATTTTTATCAAACGAATACGATTTACGATGATAGAAATTTTTCTTGAAAAATATCATTGCATATTTAAACTTAGCATACATTTCTAACATATAACCTATAAATTATATTTTTATATTTACTTATTATTTATTTATACTTATATTAAATCGCTATGGTAATGGTATATTTCAAAGTTCGTGTCTTATAAAGTGGCACGCCATGTTGGTGACCCCTTCCCTCTCACCATCACTATGAAACAACCATCATCACATGAATACCACACTATACTCGTCGTTCAACCAACCTTCTGCCATTTCCTACCATCCCTATAAGGTTGTTTATCCATTCTCTCTGCATTTGGCATTTACTAGCCTTTTTTAACCCTCCTCTCCTTCGTTTCTTCGTAAAAACATTACTCCGAGTAAATATATATAAATAAAAATAAAATTGATAATACGAATATAAAATTATATAGGTTATCACGATTGTATTTTATTGTCGTCTCTTTCATTCTTTCTCTTCCTTTCTCTATTCTCGTTTTACATATGGTATATAAAGCGTACCACACCATAAAGAAAAAAGAGAGATTTTGCATCATGGTTTCCTGATCTTATGAGGCCCAATATTGCGACTCTCGATGATTCCTAAGATGGCTTTTGTTAAAGTCTTCTCTCTCTCTTTCCCATTATTTTCTAATAATTCTATTAGAGGTTAGTTTATTGTAAAATAATAAAATAAAATTGTACATTATTTATTATAAAATATAAATAAATTCATTACTTACAGGGGGCTAGTATTTACTTGTTTATTACTTGATAATTAAAGTTTACATGTAAAAATAAAAAGAAAGAAATATATATATATATATAAGAATAAAAATAATTCTAAATTATTTTGATAACATTTAATCAAAATAATAACTAATCCCTTTGAACAATAAATGTCTTATGTTATTTATTATAATTTAATATGTTGTAATTAACAAATACAAATAAAATATATTGAACGATTTATTTGATAAAAGTAATAATAATATAATGCAAATAATGATTCATATTAATAAATAAATATTTGTATGTATAATATGTTGATAGAATTGTTGAATATTATATTAATTAATTGCTTCACTTATATATTATTGATAAAAGTCAGGTGATTCTGAAAGAACTACCAACCCATTTTTCTACAACCCTTGGATAAAGAGATGGTATTCCTTCTAACCTTGTCGATATTTTCTCTCTGTTGCTATGACCAAAAAGAAGAAGGAAGATACTCGAAAGCTTTTAAAAACGAAACGATAGAATCGTTGAACTCTTCTTAACATGTTATCCTGTTTGGTGATATTCTAAGTTTGGTATCAGATGGCGACCGTTGATGGACAACAAGGTCCACAGGACCACTCCACCCTACTTGAATCCTACAGAAAGAAGAAGTTGGTCGTTCTCATTTGTATTTGTGTAAGGATTCTCAAGTATCCAATGGTATTCCTACCTAAAACCTCTGTAATTTCGTGAAGTCCTGTTCCTTCATACTAGCCAGATGCTTTCAAAATCATTCGAGCGGCAAAATTTTCATTATTTATCTCACTATACGTTAAATAGTAATTGATTATGTCTTTTTTTAAGTTGATTTTTCTTTATTTTACCGAAAGTTTGTATTAATAATGAAATATTTAATTGCTTCATATTTTGCAAGATAAAATTTCTAGTAATATTTTTGTTATTATTTGTTTCTTTATTTATAACTAAATAATATAATAATTTATAAAATTAATCTTTTGTATTTACAATTGTATTTCAATGTGAACACACATTCACATTTGTAATTTATAAATTATTATTTATTTATTATCAATATCTAGAGACATAGATTTTATTACAAACAAATTAAATAGTTATATATATATATATATTTGTTTATTTAATAAATAACATATATTACATAATAAATGTTAACGATAATTCGTAAAGTTAAATGTCATAAAAAATTACATTTTTAATATAATATTCAATTCAATTATATTTAGTCAATATGTATTTACATTTATTATTTCTATGGAACGTAATAATTCATTAAACAAAGAAACAGGGAAAAAAAGTTTACATATACCATAAGATTTTAAATAAAGGTTGAAACGTTTCTTCCATACTTTCCTGATCGAAGGTGTATCGTATTACACGTGACTGTAGTCTTTCGTCTCGTTTCACCAATCCGATAACAGAAAGTGTATGGAGAAAGAAAGAATGGAAGAAAGGAAGGAAGGAAGAAACAAATAAATAATAAAAGAGAAAGAGAAAGAAAGAGAGAGAGAGAGAGAGAGAGAGAGAGAGAGAGTATCGATTGCAAGCATGTTTGTGTTGCAAGTTGCATTAAAACAAAATCCAAAGTAACTTATGGATTCTTGGTGAAATTAGCATATTAATAAGAAAACCGGCGATAACGGTCAGGATAACAGGACGAAAACGAATATCATCGAAGGTTAGTTTGACCTCGAAGGATCCAAGATCAACTTTATCGATCTCCTCGAATCCTCTGCATTCCTGATTACCAAGACTCCGCTTTTAGAACTCAATGGAGCGAAACTAATTGTCCGAACGTTACGAACTTAACTTCCTAAAGGCCGGATCCTTTAGATAGGTTACCGACTTTCGCCATTGTTATCCAATGCAACCATCCAACCCAACTCAACTAACCTTCATCTCGTTCAACCTTTTCATTATGAATGGAAGGCGTTTCCTTCCTACTTTCTCATAGGTCAATTCAAATTTTATTTTCTATTATTATACGAGTTTATTACTAATGAATTATATTTTTTTATTTTTTGTAAATTATTATTTCAATTATTAGTTTATAATAAATGGTATATTATTATATAGGGTAATTTAAGAATATCAAAAGATATATTTTACATATGTAGAATTCGGTTTATTGGTTTTTTTTTTTTTTTTTATATATATAGTAAGTTGTTAATAATGTTAGAATAATTTTGTTTCAAATTATTAATAAAACATAGTAAATAATTTGTTTATTTCATTCCTAGTTAAAGGAGTGTAAAATATATATTTTTTTCTTTTTATTTTTAATAGTTTAATTAATAATTACTTTTATAATTAGATTGAATATATTTGCAATACTTCAATTTTTAATACATGTAATTATTTTTACAATATAATTTATTAGTTTATATCATTTTTAGAATATTTATTTTCAATATTATATATGTTGCTTTGAAGAACAGGTATGGATTGGTTATTAATAATTGCATTGTTTAAGAAATATAAATTTTATTTATTAATTATTTATAACACCAAATGTAACGGATGATATTACTTTGCTACCAGCATTCGTTGTAGAACATTCTAAGGGTAGTAATCCTATCTTTCAAAATACTTTCTAAAAGGTTCGATCTTTCTTTTTATTTTTGCAAAATTTTGCCAACCCTAAGTTACCTCCTGAATTTGTATGATTTCCTCTTAGCCAAGGTATCATTTTTAATTTCTCTTTCATTTTTTTTTAGTTTTGTAAATTGAGATTCAAGGTTACATACAGGTTGTTCGTATTTTTGAAATTGACAATGTCATGGTAAACCATATCAATCTTTTTAGTCCTTTCTTGTTGAAAGAATATGATTTACTTATAGTTTTCTGTTTTTTTTTTTTCTTAATACATCGTACAATTGGATTTATGGGAAATACAAGGTGGTCGTACTCCACCTGTTTACTTACTAACTTACACAGGTAGAAATGGTGAAAATGGCGAATGATGCCATATTACATGCGCAGTGTAAACAACTCCGTTACATCGACATAACAGGAGAATAAAAGGAGCAAAGAGGTTTAACGGGTTAAGAAACTTCACGAAGTAAAGGGAGTAGAAGATATTATCATAAATGAAGTTTCATTAGTCAATATGTATAATTTCTTTATATAACAATAATTAAAATCATAGAAAACAAGAAACTCAAAGGAGAGTACGAGTTTTGTATCTCAGCAGTTCTGAAAATAAAATTACATCAACATCATATATAAATAATTTAAATATATATTTTTATATATATAAATAAACAATATTTGTAATCGATATTTAGAATATTTATTTCTAAATTTGCAATTTCTAATTTTGTTCAATTAATTTAAGATTAAAGTTAGTTTGTGGCTTAATTAGAAATTGTGTGAGAATAATATGAAAAAGAAATAAAGTTTGAATTATAATAAAATATTTATTTTTGTTAATTTTTTTCTTTATAGAATTAAAGTAAGAATTATTGATAACCCTAATCAACTTCGATATAAATAAATATCTTAAAAATAAATACCTCTAGTTCTCACAATAAAACAAAACATGTCTCCATCACCCATCCTGAGACATCAAACCAACCCTAATCTTCTACCAATAAAACTGAAGTACGAATCAAACAATAAATTGAACATATGGTGGGGCTAACGTTCAGCTCTACCAAGGGTCGACCCAGACAAGAGACAATCAGACAAGACCCAAATAAGAAAGAGTGAGATAGTGAGAACTGTGCAAGCGAATGAGAAAGAATATGAGAGAGGGAGAATCTCATCAAAGACATTTGATAGAGATAAATAGAGAAAGAGAGAAAGAAAAGGTCGAAACATAAAGGAGAGAAAGAGAATCTATATATATATATATATATAGATATATCCAAGGCCAAAGTAAGCTCCATGGGTCTCCTGCGATCCTGTTGAAAATGCGTGGGCGCGGTCTCCCCGAGGGCTGGCCTCGGCCAACGAAGGTCGCACCCTTTTTCGAGTGGCGCACGTATCTGACCCTTTCGGCCAGCCTCGCGGCCACCACTCGTCGTGGCCTCCTAAACGCGAAGAGACACACACAAACACACACTATATTACTCCCATTCATACCCTCTTTCTCTTTCTATCGGTCCTATCTCTCACTCTCACTCTCACTCCTTTTATCTCGCTTTATTTCATGGTCCCTTTCGACCTCCCACCCTTCCCCCCCACTACTACCGATC